CACTGGGGTGTCCCTGGCACTGGGGTGTCCCTGGCACTGGGGTGTCCCTGCGCACTGGGGTGTCCCTGGCACTGGGGTGTCCCTGTGCATTGGGGTGTCCCTGTGCACTGGGGTGTCCCTGCATTGGGGTGTCCCTGCAGCACCAGGTTTGTGCACTCTGAAGGGCGTTGGGAGCCTGCTTTGGCTGAGGGCTGTGCATGGCAGGAGGAGGGGTCCTGCAGCTCAGCCTGACTGCTCCAAGTCAAACACTCCTGCGTCCTGCTGGCAGCTGAGGAAAGCTGTGTTTGCTTCATTAAGCTGTGTGTAAAAATCCCCTGCCTTTGGGGGTTCCTGCTCTGCTTTAACCCTTGGGCCTCAGGCAGCGTGTCCCAGCGTGTCCCAGCCTGTCCCAGCCTGTCCCAGCGTGTCCCAGCCTGTCCCAGTGTGTGGCAGCCCTGCTGAGGCTGATTGCAGTGAGCAGTCAGGCACTGTGTGCTGTGTCAAGGCAATGTGAGATAAACCACCCACATCCCGAAGGGAGATGATAGAAGGGGACAGTGTGACTAAAGGCATAAAGACAGAGGAGCAGATGTGTCCCTCTTGCCAGCTCCATTAAAATGATCCAGTGTGCCCTTTGGGCTCTTGTTTCTGAAAGGGAAGGTTGTGCTGGAAGTTTTGCCTGTAGAGTGTTCCAGGATCAGCCATCCCTCCTGGATCTGGAATGTGAAGGAGAAGGTGCTGCTGCACCTGTCCTGGCCCTGCCTGTGCCTGCTGCTGGCACCAAGGGGAGGATGAGGTGGTGACAGGAGACAAACCCCATTTCTGCCTGGGGATTGCAGCTCCTCCACTTCTGGGTGGTTCTGTCTGGGTGGCGCAGCAAGGGCTGTCTGATGGCTTAGCAAGTGCAAGTGTAGGAACAGGGGTTAGGTCAAAAGGGAGTTCAGAGTGACTGTGGCCTCCCTCAGAGTCACTGGACCCTTATCCCAGCTGCAGAGCTCTGAGGTTATTCCTGATTTCCCTGCTGGCAGGCACACGGTGCTCTGCCTGCAGGTGTGTGCTGGGTCGTGTCCCCCCAGTGGGACTGGGTGCCATCACAGCTCTGAGGCCAGCCTGGAGCCTCTAGAAGTGGGGCTGGGGCTGGGATTCATCTCTGAAGCTTTCCTCCCCACTCTGTTCCTCAGTGCCCCCACAGCCCCTCTGCCCTGCCCAGGGGCTGCAGGTGACCGTGGGAGGGGGCTCATGACCTCCTGTGTCCGCAGGTGATGAAGACCTACCACATGTACCACGCAGAGAGCATCAGCGCCGAGAGCAAGCTGAAGGAGGCAGAGAAGCAGGAGGAAAAGCAGTTCAACAAGTCGGGGGACATCAGTGTGAACCTGCTGCGACACGAGGACCGGCCGCAGCGGCGCAGCTCCGTCAAGAAGATTGAGAAGATGAAGGAGAAGGTGGGTGAGAGGGAGGGAAGAGGGAGCTGGGCTGGGGCTGGGGCTCCCTGCAGGCAGCAGGGGTTGGCTTCAGCCTTGTCCTTGTCTGTGAGGCCATTCCTGTATCTCTGGGAAGGGTGAGGAAGGCTGATGTGCTGCTGAAGGCAGCCCAAGGAGGCATCACAGGTGTCATCGCTGCTCCTGCCTGTGGAGGAGGGCCAGGAGCAGTTCTAGAGGAGACGTGCCAGGGACAGGCAGTGCAGCCCTGGACGGGTGCTGGAGCTGCACAGGAGCCACGTGGAGCCTCCGGGCTGTCTCTGTGCACAGAGCTGAGACAGGCAGCTGGGGGGCCCTGGAGGCGATGGCTGCTGCAGCACAGCGCAGGGAGCGGTGCTGGAGCTGCTTCTCCAGCAGCAGCTCGGCCACGGCGTGCTTGGGGCCTGGCTGTGCCAGCTGGGAGCCCAGAGGCTGTGCTGAGGAGGGCACTGCACCAGGGTACCACACTCAGCCTGGGGATGCACCTTGGGCTGGACAGCAGACCCTGCTCCGGGAGACTGGGGTTTGTCTGGGATGTGTTCTTTAAAGATGGGCTTTTGAAAAAGAACAATAGCCTTGGGTTTGCTCAGGAACTGACTCCTGGTAGCAAAAAATGAGTTGGATCTATGAAATAACAGTGTTCTTCCTCTGTAGACTCTCTGGGAGTGAGAGTGCAGTATTTTGATAGATTTGCTAGGCAAAACCCTTTGTGCTGTTCTGGCCTCAGCAAATCCCTGTGACCTCAGGATCTCCACAAGTTTTTGTGTTAATTTTGGAGGAAAGGAGATAGTTTTCCCAGCCAGGACACCTTTGCTTGCTGGCTCAACCAGCACTGGGATTTTTCTAACAGTGAACTTCTCAGAAGGGTTAATCTTTTGATTCAGCCTTCAGAGCAGGGATCTGCCTGAGCAGATGTCCCAGATCTGGAGCACATCTGCTTTCCTACAGTTTTGAATTCTGGGTCCTGTTCTGAATTGTGCAGTTTGGGCCTCTGGGCCAGATTCCACTTTGATATGGCTGCACACATCTGGAGCAAGTCCAAACGTATGTCAGCATTTCTGGGGGGGAAATTTGGCCCTCTGGTTTTGACTGATGCCAAAATCCCCAGCAGCAGCTGTGCTCAGGGGCTCCAAGTACCTCTGAGCAGGATGCACTCATCGTGGCTGGCTGACAGTGCGAGGGGTGTTCAGATGGGATCTCCTCCACCCTGGCAAGGTCCCTGTTTTCATACCAGATACCAAGTTTTAGTAATTACCTCGTCACACCCAGGCTGCAGGGTGCTGTGGGGGTCTGTGGCAGGAGAAACTGTGCCAATACCACCTTGTTTGTGCTCTGACACCGCATTCTGCTTTTTCAGAGACAAGCCAAGTACTCTGAGAACAAGCTGAAGTGTACAAAAGCCAGGAACGACTACCTGCTGAACCTGGCAGCCACCAACGCGGCCGTCAGCAAGTACTACATCCACGACGTGTCGGACCTCATCGACGTGAGTGCCTCCCTGGGCCCCAGCCTGCTGGGCTCCTGACTGCACCCTGTGCTGCTGAGGGGCTGGCTCGGGGCCTTAGGGGCTTCTTCACTGGGGCTGAAGGTGTCCTGTCAATTGGGTTTGCCTTGGGGCGAGCCAGGGGAGACTGAGGTTTCTGCTTGGCCCATTGGTTACGCTGTGTTTGAGACAGAAATGCTCCCCAAGGTCAGGCACAGCCTTGGCTTTGGTGCTGAACCAGAGGGGTTTTTCTCTCTGCCACTCGGTGACTTTGGTGTGGATTCAGCACACATGGCAGCGCTGTCCTGGCTGCTGTCCTGGCTGGTGGCAGCGCTGTCCTGGCTGGTGGCAGTGCTGCCCTCGTTGGTGACAGTGCTATCAGCCTGGTGGCAGCGCTGTCCTGGCTGGGGAAGGCACCTTGGGGCTTTGTCCCGGTGCTCCTGGCAGGGAACAGCCTCAGGGCAGGAACTGCTGGAGGCAGCTTGGTGGCAATGGCAGGAACTGAGCTCTGGTGACTCCTACAAAGAGCTTTGAGATGATTCAGAGAAGGGATTTACCCAGAGAAGGGATTTCTGCTTCTTCTTTTATCGGGCATCCCACAGCGTGTAGATTGCACTGTGCAGTTTCTTCCTGCTGGAGTTGCCTCAGCGAGTGCATAAATAGCTGAGCTTGAAGCACTGAGTTACCATCATTACCATCAGTACAATTTAAAAAGCTGCTTGAGTGTTTACCTCCTTTCCTAGCCCATTAGCATGTAGTTACACTTTTGAGAATTAAAGTAAGTCTAATGCAAATCCCCAATGACTTCAAGATTTTCATATATGATAAAATACTCTTCATTATGTTTTGTTCTCTTTATTATTGAAGATGTGTTAGAAAACAAGTAAGTTAATCTTGGAGACATTTGAATGGCAGGGTATGAGAACACCTCGATTTATCTGCAGGCTTTCCACTTTTGCAGTGCATATTCTTTCTTCTGTTAAATTATTTTTTAAGCAAGAATGACTTCGTTTTGTGGAGATTTTTGAACTTTGATTTTCTGGAGTTTTGCTGAGTTCCATTTTAGTTCTGTCTGTTTATATTATTCTTCCCAACTTTTATTTCCTCACTGACACTTCCTCTGGAGTCAGCAGATGGCATTTCTCCCACATTCCAGAAATCCCTTCAGGGACTTCAGCTAAAGCATCTTTAACATGGAGCAATGAAATTTCCCCAATTACAAAGTCTGTTCACCAAAGAAACAAAATACTGGATGTGTGAGCTGAGCTTGCGTGAGCCACGCTCTGTGCCGGGCTGGGCACTCTCTGAGCTCGGGGCACACTCTCTGAGCCGGGCTGGGCACACTCTGAGCTCGGGGCACTCTCTGAGCTCAGGGCACACTCTCTGAGCCGGGCTGGGCACTCTCTGAGCCAGGCTGGGCACTCTCTGAGCTCGGGGCACTCTCTGAGCCGGGCTGGGCACGCTCTGAGCCGGGCTGGGCACACTCTGAGCTCGGGGCACACTCTCTGAGCTCGGCTGGGCACACTCTGAGCTCGGGGCACACTCTCTGAGCCAGGCTGGGCACACTCTGAGCTCGGGGCACTCTCTGAGCCGCTCAGGGCACGCTCTGAGCCGGGCTGGGCACACTCTGAGCTCAGGGCACTCTCTGAGCCAGGCTGGGCACTCTCTGAGCCTGCCTGACCTCACTCCTGTGTCTCCTGGCAGCTCCTCCACCATGGAATGGTGAGGGATGCTCCGGGCTGGCTGTCTGGGACACAGGAGAGACAACAGGGCTTGCACGCCCTCCATCTCCAGTACAAATTGCCACGTGCAGCTGCTGATTTCACACAAATGTGAACCGTCAGCACACTGCAGAGCCAATTTACCGACGTTTGCCCCAAATCCCAGCTGCCTCAGTGTCATCTCTGGGCACAGCCTGCCATCACTTGCTCCCTGGGTGTCCCTGCAGAGCCGTGGTGGTGCCAAGGCCGTGCTCCACTCTCCTGCTCTGGCGAGGCCGAGGCCCCAGCTGCTCCAGGAGGGAGGGAAGCCTCCCAGGGCTGCGGCTTAATGAGAGCCGTGAAGCCCATCAGAGGAGCCGTGAAGGGGCGCAGAGCCGTCTGCCCCTCTGTCTCCAGTGGCCTTGTTGTTTTGTCCTGGAAAGGAAGGGAAGAATATAGAGATAGATCAAATTAGCCTTGGACTGTCAGTGCACCACGGGGCCTCCTCCTCGGATGACACGTGTGTCGGTTTAAGCGCCTGGGCTTGTCTCATTACTGTCATTAACTGTGTGACCAAGTTAATCTTTTTGGCCATGTATGCGAAGAGGAGATAAAGCTCCTTATCCATCCCTCTGGAGTTCTCTGGGAAATGGCTGCAAAATAGTTTGAAGTGGTCACATGAAAGATATCGCTGGATTCAGCAGAGAAAATGGAACAGGCAGTTTGCATACAAACTGATCTGCCAAAACGTGTGCAGCCTCCTCTGAATCCTTCTGGAGCAGTAGCCCACCTCCCTATGGATTAGTGATTGCTGTATCTGAGACAAGCCAGGAAAGGAGGGGAACTCTGAGGAAATTCAGTGTTACGTGGAACTGTGGAATTGCTTGGTCCCTGGCAAAATCAGCTGAGTCAAGTTAGGGAGCAGAAACAGCAGCTGAAATAGTTATGCCAGATATCCTCAGTTGGCTTTACTGGCCTGGTTGAGCAGGGCTTGGAGCAACCTGGGCTGCTGGAAGGTGTCGCTGTTCGTGGCAGGGTGGTTGAAATTGGATAATCTTTAAGGTCTTTCCCAGGGATTCTGTGATTTACTTGCCACACAGCACAGCTCTGGATTTTGCAGCAATGTCAAGAGAGTAGAGGCCAGAAATTAAAAGAAGCATATAATTATTATGTATTATGCGTATAATTAAAAATAGTGCAGAGTATTTTTTATAAATAAATAAGGAAAAAAATGCAGAGCAGAGGGAACAGAGCAGAGCAAATGAGTTGGGCTCTTTGTTTGCAGCAGTGCTGGTCCTGTGGAGGCAGGGGCGTTACTGCTGTGCCTGGGATGATAAGGGGCGGCTTGCAGGGCACCCAGGTGTCACTCTGGGCTCCACTTGCTCAGGTCAAGGCGTGGGGCTGGCTGAGCTCTGTCTTGTGCAGGTTCAGCCTCCCAGATAACAGAGGGGCTCTGTAGCTGGAGCCACAGAGCACTGTGTGCCTTTCCTTCTCCCGGAGCCCAGGAGTGCCCCCCGTGCCGCTCTGGGGTGGGCAGGGGCAGGCACACAGGTGTTTGGCTGCTCCCATGGTGTTTTGGCCACATGTGCTTGCTTGAGCTGCAGGAGCCGGTTTGTCTCTCAGGCTGAGCACTGGGATATTTCCAGCCCTCGCAGGGTGTTACCAGCCGTGATGAATTAATGCTTGGGGAGCTCTGAGCTTGGCAGATGAAAGGCGCTGCGGAAGGGCTGGGATTATTATTTGTGGTTCTAATTTATTTGCCATCAAAGGGATGAGAGGGGTGAGAAAATGCCATTTGTTCTGGGGCTGGGAGCATCGGTTTGAAGTCTTTTTTTTCTTCCTTTTTCTTCTCCCCTCCCCATTGTTGTTCCTCTGGGAATTGCGTGGAAATCCCTGCTCCGTCTTTTCTTCTCTGGGCACCCGTGTGTGAAGCAGCCGTGCCGATCACCGGGGCTTCAAGGGCTGCGGTGTGTGCAGGAGGTGCCACCCTGCTTTCAGGAGCACCTGATTTCTGGGCACTGCCAACCACCGCTGGCTCCGGTGCGAGCCCAGCAGCAAAAAAGGGGAAACATTTCACGTGGAACTTTGTCCTAAAAGCAGCTGGCAATGCCCTGAGCCCCTGTGCTTGGGTTCTGTGCCATGCAGTGCTTTGCCTTGTAAGGCTCGGGTCTGTGTGCTTTGGGAATTCCCACCCTGGAGCAGTGGCACCTGTTTCCTCCTGGTGCTGTTTTGGGTAGCCCAGGCTGTGTGATTTCAGGGCTGGGAGGTGCTGGGAGCACACAGTGCGTTCCCAGGGCACAGGGCTGTGCTCAGCTGGGCAGGCAGCAGTGCTGCTCCTCCCCCAGCGCTGGCACGGGGCCCTGGCCCTGCTCCCTGCCCCTCTGCCTGTCCCTCTGCCTATCCCTCTGTCTGTTCTCACCGTGCCCCACTGCCCGCGCTGGCCCCCCTCCCTGCCGTGGTGTGGGGAAGGAAGGGCTGAGCTG